AGAATTGATTGCCTCGTTGCTCGAAGCGGTGCGCGCAGCCTGCCTGCCTTTCACGATAGCAGGAGGTGGGAATTTTGAGGCAGAATTATTTGGCAGAGACTCGTTTTTGCGGGCTGGTTTCCTGCGTCTGGTGCATGCAGAAGTTGTGCACAGTGGGAAGCCAACGTGTCATGACTCACATTATGTTTTTTTCGTGATCAGTGATGTGTTGCTTTCTTTTGTCAAATCCATTTCGGTTCTGGACGACACCCCCGTTGGGCCCCACAGGGCGGTCAAACTCGTCCTGGGAGGGCTTGGGGGGCAGAACTAAATTTACCGACGGGTCAAACCTGACCCATTTCCAATGCCTCCGTCGGGGCAATCCTTTGTCCCAGGAGACGTCTCGAGCTGGCCAGGCTTCGACCAGAAAGAGGGGGGGTCGGGGGGCATTCTGGCGCGACGCTGGTTTCAGTCTGCTGAGTTCTATTTATGCATGTTTTTGGCCATCCCAGCTTCGGACAGGCCGCGTTACTGTGGAAGAGAGCTCGGGTGTCGACTGGAAAAAATCCCGCTTGCGTGTGAATGGGGAAAGAGCCTTCGCAGAAAGGCGCCCCCCCCGACTCAGAAGTGGCTCAGCATCAGGCGCTTAACCATGCAATGGCTCCGCGCTTCAGACACCGCCGTCTCTGCCCAACAGGAGTCGAAGGCCAGTGCCGAGCGTCGTCTTAGAGAGCTGGGGGGCGCGTGGGACACCGGTGGCGTGGCGGGTGTCGGAGGAGTCGGTTTGAAGATCAGCGATTGTGAATCCTCTTTGCAACAGCTTGCGAGCGATGAGCAGAAGGGAGAAGCTTGCAAATTTGTTCAAGATCCAGTGCTTGCGCACGCGGCTGCAGACGCAGCCGCCGCCAGAGCCAGCTGGGGGGATTTTTCGGAGCTCGCCTTTCAGAATGTGCAGGTTTGGCGCGCTGGTTTTCCAAGGGCCCCAGGGGCGCCGATCCATCTGATCGGGGCTCCAGTGGGCTCCCTGTTGTAGGACATGCGGCCCTCCAGGCCATGCTGGTGAATGGGTGAGCTTGTGGGTTGTTCCTGAGCGTGAAAGAGAAGCTCACCCGCTCACCTGGTCGGTTGAGGATGCACCGCTGCTCCCCAGGATGGAGATTCACAGGGTCAAGGCGGTGCTGCAGACTTTCAGGGCTAAGACAGCGCTGGGATGGGATTGTTTCCACCCGCGCTGGATTGAGTATCTGCCTGTCGAGCTGCTAGAGTCCCTCTCTGCACTTCTGCACCTCTGGGAAGACAACCCAGAGGACACAGACATGATGCTAACAGTCATTGAGTTCCTTGCGAAGCCCCAAGGAAGTGTGCGCCCCATAGGACTCCCCCCTCTTTTCTGTCGCGTCTGGTCACGTCTGAGGCACTCAGAAGTGGCCAAATTGGAGGGCACCCTCGGGGGCAGTTTCTTTTGGGGGTCCTCGTCCGAAGCGTCGTGCGACAAATCGGCCTGGATCCACAACGTGTTGGCGAGCGTTGCCCCCGTATAGAACTTTGTCAGTGTGAGTGCGTTTGTAGACCTCAGGAAATTCAATGAAATGATCAGTCACTCTGAATTCTTATGTGCTGCTAGAGACACGGATCTTCCCATAGGGCTGCTAAAACCACTGTGCTGCATGTACAGAGGCCGAAGAAGGGCCACATGCCAGAGATCGACGTCGACTGAACTTCGAGCCAATGGATCAGTAATAGCAGGATGTTATTGTGCAACAGGCCTGGCTAAATTGATGACAATCACGACACTGAGACACATGAGAGTCAGATGTCCCACGGTGCGGATCAATGACCTCATCGACGACATAAGCCTCCACGCCATCGGAGGCAGACTCTCAGTCATCAGGGGAATGAAATACGCCCTGAACTACCTCCTCGTGGGCCTCCAGAAGAAGGGCCTCCCGATCTCTTGGGACAAGATGGGGATTCTCTGCAGGGACAAGGAGTTGTTTTTGGAGGTCTGTGGGGGGCTCTCGGACCTCTGGCCAGTGAACACCCCCCACCTGAAGCACGATCAGTACCACAGGGACTTGGGAGGATATGCTGTGGATGGTCGTTTTCCAAGAATTGGGGCCCAGTTGAAAAGGATCCCGGATGCCGTGAAGAAGGGGGGTCGCATCCAGGCCTTACAGGGCCTCGGGGTAAAGAGATCGGCGGTCCATCGTGCTGGTGTGCTTTCCAAGAGCCTCTGGGGATGCAGCATAGCAGGGGTCCCCAGCGGGCGAATCCAGCAGGTTCGGATGTCCTTCCTCAACGCCGCGGAAAGGTTCAAACCAGGGGCCCATGTAGGCCTTCCATTGCAATTCTCAAAGAGCGGGTGGAGATCAGACCCGCTCGTCATCGCGACCGCGGATGCCATGCAGACGTTTGTCACAATCCTCGCGGCTGGCATGGTCTCCAGGAATGTGGTAAATGGCCTCGTCGTGGATGCGCGGCCCTGGCTGAACGAGCGCTACGCTTGGAACAAAGTCAAGGCACCAATCTCAGCTCTAGCAGTATCGCTCCACAGAATTGGCTGGACGCTGGAGGGCGCAACTACGGTGAGGGACGATGAAGGAATAGTCTGGGACACCTCTCATTATTCGGCAGAGCTCGTCGCAGACATGGTCAATAAGGGAGTGCAGAGACACATAAGCCGAGATGTTCTTAGAGGACTACGCGGTGCATATGAGGAACCTAGGCTGGGAGAAATATCGCGGGGGCTACTTCAGGCGGCAATGGGGTCAAAGAAACTCCCCCCACATGAGAGGCGGTCTCTTCGTGGCCTCTGCTCAGGAGGACACTGGTGCCAAGCCAGAGTTGCTCGAGCTTTCCCAGGCCAGAGTCACCTATGCAAGCGCTGTGGCATAGCGCCACTTTACTCCACAGATTTTTCAGCTGCGACGCCTGCGCAGGCCAAAGACAGATTCTGATTCCTGATATCATACGTAAAGCGGCATTGGAAATTAGCAGAGGGAGCCCAGCGGTGCAAGAGAAGTTTGCGAGAGGAATCCTGCAGAATCCAGGGCAGGCTTTTGCCAATCTGCCGCGTTCCTCAGCACGCGACTTCATCGACGTCGACAACACTGGAGTGGCGACAGTCGCCGACGGGTTCGTTTTCGTCGACGGCAGCGGGTTTCACACCAACATTCCAGAGCTCAGAGTTGCAGGCTGGGCAGTGATCGCCTTTGACAGTGAGCGTCGTCGAGTCGGACGTTTCTATGGTACAGTGCCAAAGCATATCGGGCCGCTACAGGTGGCGAAATATGGAGAAGACTACGCAATTTATCAAGCCAGTCGACTGGTGCTAGGAACGTGGACGCTTCTCTCAGACTGCAAGAGCTCACTATCGTGCTGTTTCAACTTATCGTGGGCCGTGGGATCCAAGTGCGCACGGGCCCATATCTGGAAGCTGACTAGGCTGAGGGAGGACTTTAGTGACCAATGTTTCATGCACGTTAAAGCTCACGCAACTATGAGAGACGTTCGTGAAGGGAACATCTCGCACTTTCAAATGGACGGCAACGGGGAGGCGGACTCCTGGGCCATGCACGGAGCAAAGCAGATACTACCTTCAGAGCAACTGATAAGATTTGTGAACGGTTGCCGCATATTTCATCGTAGCTTGCTGGAATAGCTGGCGAGATTCGAAGTTTGGTTCTACTCTCAGGATGCACAATTTCTGGATTACTGGTTTTCAGTGGCAGATGATGACGAAGAAAGGATCGATCAGGCGTTGCGTATGGAAGAAACGTCAACAGAGCCTTGGTTTGTGGGCAAGCATGCCCTGTATGAATACAAAGTTGTGGGTCTGGACTACTGCCTAGTGTTTTGCACGACGTGCTGCAGGTACTTCAACTTGGAGTCGCACAAAGGTCTGGACGTGACTTGCCCTGGGCGGTCGGTGTCAGGACGTGGAGTTGAAAACGCGCGACACTTCGAGAATCTCAGACACCCGCAAAGTTCAAAGAAGCACGTGAAGTTGGACGGCCCGTCTCGGCCATCGTCGGAGACGAGGAAGACTATGCGTAAGGTCAAACATTGGACTGATCCGTTGGTGGACACGGTGGTGGAGAGACCAGCGGCTGCACCACCTGCTGCCGTCGGCGACTCCAGATACCTCGATGTGCCCAGAATCTTACGTGGATATGGGCTGTCATATGACGAAGTGCAGGAGCTGGGTCAACCTGGACCCGATTCAGGCTCTGATGATGGCAGCGATGACGGACTTTTTGGTTGACAGCAGGGCCGCTACAGGTTCGGCTTTCAAATCCTGCCTAGGGCAGGTTCATATGTCGCCAGGCAGGTGCAGGCCGGCCAGGTCCCTTGGGATTGCAGCGTGGCTGGCCCTTGGGCACCTTAAGTGCTGGCCTGCATCCAGCCAGTTTTGCTGTCCACGTGTGGGTCGGCACGGCCCTCTTCTTCAGTGGCCACCTGGGCTCGCTGGGCCACCAGGAGGTCGGCCACGCCCCGCTGCCGCTGGGCGTGCTGTGCGTGGAGTTCCACGCCCTGGCAGGCTTCGTGCACGTGAGCACGGGCCTGCCGCAGGCCCCGTGCCCCCTGGCCGCTCGGCCGCTTTGCCAGGTCCGACTGGCTCTCCCCCCCCCGCCTCGGCGCATGCAACGCGGTTCCTGGCCCTGTGGGCTCCGTGGTGTACGCTGGGGTGGGGGGCGGGGGGGCTAGTGGGCCCTCCGCCCGCCGCCGCGGGCCGACCCAACCGCCTCTCTGCTGCTCGCTCGCTCGCTCCTCCTCCTCCTCCTCCTCCTCCTCCTCCCCCTCCTCCTCCTCCTCCTCCTCCTCCTCCTCCCCTCCTCCCCCTCCTCCTCCTCCTCCTCCTCTTCCTCCTCCTCCTCTCCTCCTCCTTTTCCCTTCCTCCTCTTCCTCCCTCTTCCTCCTCCTCCTCCTCTTCCTCCTCCTCTCCTCCTCCTCCTCCTCCTCCTCCTCCTCCTCCTCCTCCTCCTCCTCCTCCTCCTCCTCCCCCTCCCCCGAGACGCGGCCTGGCTCCCGGCACAGCCGCGCCAGCCGGCCCCTCACGCGCTCGGCTTCGCCCCGTAGCCACGGCGCGCGGCGGCCGAGCTCCACCGCCAGCAGCAGGCAGGCCGCGGCCAGCGGTGCTGGCGGCCACACCGCGCAAGCCTCGCCGCAAAACGTCGACGGATGACGCCCGACACCCGACGCCGGACGACGACCGGCGCCCGACGACGCCCGACGACGACGGACGACAAAGACGATCGCCAACGACGGACAACGACCAATGACGACAAACGACGACGACGACGACGACGACGACGACGACGACGACGACGACGACGACGGCGGCGAAGACGACGACGACCGACGTCCGACGACGCTCGACGCCCGACGACGCCCACCGCGCGACGACACCCGACGCGCGACGACACCCGACGCGCGACGACACCCGACGACCGACGCCCGACGCCCGACGAAGAGGACGACGACGACGACGACGACGACGACGACGACGACGACGACCGACGAGGACCGACGGCGACGACGACGACGACGACGACGACAATTGACGACCGACGACCAACGGCGACGACGACCGACGACGCGCGATGCCCCACGACTGCCGACGACCAGCGCCCGACGACCGACCCGCTCAGGAGGAGGCGTCCTTCTGAGCGGGTCCTCCTCCTCCTCCTCCTTCTCTTCCTCCTTCTCCTCCTTTTCCTCCTCCTCTTCCTCCTCCTCCTCCTTCTCCGCCTCCTCCTCCTCCTTCTCCTTTTCCTCCTCCCTCCTCCTCCTCCTCCTCCTCCTCCTCTCCCACTCCTTCTCCTTGAAAATAACTTCTCCCTGTCGCGCCGCGAGGCCAGTTATCGGGCGGGCCGGGCGTTTCGCCTGAGACTTCCTCATCTTTTATGACTCTGAAGCTTTAACGTTAAAGCAGCCTCACAGATGGAGGGCGGGCCGTTCTCAAGATGTGGCTCTCGCCTTAGCGCCGCGCGCACTCGTCTTAAACATTTGCAAGAGTTTCACGGATTGGGGCGAGTGGCTCTCAAAATGTGGCTCTCGCCTTAGCGCCGCGCGCACTCGTCCTAAACATTTGCAAGAGTTTGACGGGTTCCCATGATCAGCGTACCAGAAGCGGTGTTGTGGAAGGATTTAAATTTACGAGGGTGCACAAGTTATGTTGATTTGCGGTGTTCAGGTCCCACGAATGGCGTTCTGGCACGAGGCAGGATCGTCAAGACGCAACACTCAGGCTGATCTGTGGCGTTGGACTCCCGAGATCAATGTTTTGGCATACTTCAGGGTCTTCAAACAGATGTCTTCCAACGAAGCAGTTCCGTCAGTAAAAATGAACCGTTGTAGGGGCCTGTGACGAGGGAGCTTGGAAGAAGGGTTTATTGCAACATCGCTGATGCCTCTTGGGTCTACACTGGTACCCCCTCCTCCCCCTCCTCCTTCCCCTCCTCCTCCTCCGACTCCTCCTCCTCCTCCTCCTCCTCCTCCTCCTGCTCCTGCTCCTGCTCCTCCCCCTCCTCCTCCCCCTCCTCCTCCCCCTCCTCCTCCTCCTCCTCCTCCTTCGCCTCGCTGCAGAAAGCGTCGTTCAGCAGCGCCCACGCGAGCGCCGGGACGCCGCGCGCCTCCCCGGCGCCGCACAGCACCTGCCCCAGCTCGGCCAGGAGCGCGTAGGCCGGCGTCGGCTCCGCATCGAATGCCATCGCCCTGAGCACCACCTGCTCGTGCCACACCACCTCGGAGGAGGAGGAGGAGGAGGAGGAGGAGGAGGAGGAGGAGGAGAGGAGGAGGAGGAGGAGGAGGAGGAGGAGGAGGAAGAGGAGGAGGAGGAGGAGTGAGGGGAGGAGGAGGAGGAGTGAGGGGGACGACAACGGAACAACAACAGCGTCGGGCGTTTTTTTGCTTGTGTGGTTGCAATTTTTTGGCTCATGGGGCCCTCGCTGGGCCCTGGGGAACGACAAAAGACGACTCGGGAGGAAAAATTGCCCCTGGGAAGGGTGTCGTGACTTCTGGGGACCCTGCAGGAACGGAGGTTCGAGGTTCTGGGCGTTGTCGTCGGTTCTGGGCAGCTTTCTGGCCTCGGGGTGCTTTCCAGCAGCTGCGCCTCTCGCCGAGGCGTTCTGGGGGTGCCCGGATCGTCCAGAACGACCGCTGGAGAGTCGAGTTCTGAGCCGAAATTCAAGGGCAACGTTAGGGGGGGACAGGCTCAGGGGTGAACACATCGAACCCCGATCGCCCATTGATCGCCGATAGGCGCGTGATGGCCAATCCCGTAGGTAAGCGTGCGGGGTCTATCCGCAGCGATAGGCTATCTATAGCGGCTCCACACGTTCCCGGGCCAGAGCCGGAAAACACTACGAGTCTGGGAGGCCGCCGAGAACCATCGAAAGCGCCCGAACGCCTCGAACCTCGAGCCCGCAACTCGCCGCCTCCCCCTGAGCCCATTCCCAGAAATCCGATGTCGTGATATTTTTTCAATGCGGGGTGCCAAGAAGTCTCGACCCATTCCCCTGGACCGGTTTTTCCTCCTGAATCGTTTTTGACGGTCCCGAGGCCCAGCGAGGGCCCCTGGGGGCCGAAACGTAGGAAAAACTAATGCCTTGACTGCTTCAATGCGCTGGATCTCTGGGTTCCCCCCTTCAACACGTTGCCCCTGGCCTGAAGTCGGGCGTGTCCCCCTACAGGTGGATTTTCGACGAAAAATACAAAAATACGCAACACATGCCCCAAAAAGGCCAAACAATATTCAAAAAATGACCCGAACTATTTTTGAACCGATTTCGGATTATTTTTTGGGTATTTTTTTTATTCTTCGTCGAAAATCCCCCTGTAGGGGGACAGGCCCGACTTCAGCCTGGCCGTTGCCCCCGACCTCGTCGCGCCTGGACCCCCTCCCTGGCGCGCGGAGCGCGCCAGGGGCGGCGCCGGAGGCGCCGCCGGGGGGCCCCAGCGCCGATCCGAGAAATCTGCGCGGACCTCCGAGTGTTTATGTTTACGTCACTTTTTGTTCCCCTGGGATCTCTGGGTTCCCCTCGCCAACACGTTTCCCCTGGCCGTTGCCCCCGACCTCGTCGAAATCCCCCTGTAGGGGGACAGGCCCGACTTCAGCCTGGCCGTTGCCCCCGACCTCGTCGTCACTTTTTGTCCCCCTAGGATCTCTGGGCTCCCCTCTCCTCCGAGTGTTTATGCCACTTTTTGTTCCCCGCAGCAGGAGGAGGAGGAGGAGGAGGAGGAGAGGAGGAGGAGGAGGAGGAGGAGGAGGAAGAGGAGGAGGAGGAGGGCGGAGGAGGAGGAGGAGGAGGAGGAGGAGGAGGAGGAGGAGGAGGAGGAGGAGGAGGAGGAGGAGGAGTGAGGAGAGAGGAGCAAAAGAGGAGGGGGGAGGAGGAGGGACAGGAGGAGGAGGAGGAGGAGGGGAGGAGGCGGAGGATGAAGGGAGGAGGAGGAGGAGGAGGAGGAGGAGGAGGATCTCTGGCTTCCCCTCTCCAACACGTTGCCCCTGGCCGTTGCCCCCGACCTCGTCGCGCAGGGCCCAGTAGGCCTCCATCTCGAGCACGGGCGCGCCCCGGCCGGCGCTCCGCGCCTCGAGGGCGAGGAACGCGTTGGCCACGTCCCGGAGCCTCTGCGGCTCCTCCGATTAAGGACTGCAGAAAAACCGAAGGATTGCAAAAAAAAACCTTGAACGAAGGATTGCAAAAAAAACGAAGGATTGCAAAAAACCTTTTTCAAAAAAAACCGTTCGTTTTTTTTTTTTTTTTTTTTTTTTTTGCAATCCTTGGTTTTTTTTTGCAATCCTTGGTTTTTTTTGGCAATCCTTCGGGCCTGTCCCTCTACAGGGTGAATATTCAAAAATGGTAAAAAACAATGCGGGAACTATTTTTTGAATATCTTTTGTCCATTTTGGAGCTTTTCGGGGGGATATTTTTCATTTTTCGTTGCAAATACCCCTGTAGGAAGACACGCCCGACTTAATCCTCCAGCGTCTTCGAGGCCAGCCAGACGCACGACATGGCCGCGCGAAGCGTGCTGAAGCCCTCCTCGCCACTGCTCGGCGCGACCAGGAGGAAGCGCTGAAAGTACAGCGCGGCGGTCGCGGTACCCGTCGGGCTCATCTGCAGGTCAGCTCCCACCCGCCAGATGAGGCTGCCAAACCGCCGCCGCAACAGCCCGTCCGGGAGGCCCTCTTCCTCGCACAGCCGCGCCGGAGATTGCGGCGACGGCCGCCGCTGCGCGCTGCAGGCGGCTGCCATGATCCCCAGAAGTGAGACCGCGCGGGAGCTGGAATCAGCGGCTATGCAATGGGGGGGGGAAGGGGGAGGGAGTGAGGCGGCAGGGATGAGGGAGGAAGAGAGGGATGGATGTATGATGAAGGAAGGGGGAGAGGGAGGGCGGGAGGAGGGGAGGAGGGATGGAACGTAGGCAGGCCAGGCGGCAACGGGCGAGGAGTGAGATGGAAAGGGCGGTCAGCCAGAGGGCGCGCATACATAAGACGCTTTGTTCCTCAAACAGTGGCTGTAGAAATGAGTTCTTGAGTCCCACCAGCCCTTTAGGGCTACGGTGGTATAACGAGTTTGTTCTTCTCTCTTCCCCCGCCTTCCCCTGCTCGGGGGAGGCCCCTGCCCCCTCCCCTGGACCTGGAGGGGGCGGGGGGGACAGAGGCGCCGCAGCGTTCAAGATGGCCCAGGATGGCTCCAAGAGGCGCTCCAAGTCGCAAGATGGCCTCCAAGATGGCCCAAGGTACTCCAAGATGGGTCAAGATAGCCTCTGACATACCTCCAAGAGGCCCCAAGACAGCCCCAAGACGGATCCAAGTGCCCTTCGAGCCCTCCGCGGCGCCCTCCAACATGCCCAAACCCTTCAAAAGCCTATGGAAAATCAATGTTTTTGGCATTCTCGCCTTTTCGCTTCCGACGGGCCTCTGGGACCTCAAGATGGCCCCAAGATGGCCCAAGAGAGCCCCAAAAGGGGCCCACGAAGGCCCAATACGGCCCCAAGATCGCCCAAGAGGCGCCGAAACGGCCCAACGACGCCATTTGTGAGCCTCCGATGGGGGGGGATCCTAATCGAGGGACCTGCTTTTTTTGAGCCATGGGGCCCAAAATGGCCCCAAGAGGCCTCCCAGCCTCTCCCAAAGGCCTTCCACCCCGCTCTTTTTGGCCCAACATGGCTCCAAGAGAGCCCCAGCTTCAAAATGGCCTAAGATAGCCAAGCATGGCTCAACATAGCCTCCGACAGCCCTCCATGAGGCCTCAAGGCAGCCTCAAGATAGCCGAGCATGGCTCAAGATAGCCTCCGACAGCCTCTAGCCGAGCATGGCTCAAGATAGCCTCCAAGAGGCCTCAAGAAAACTGGCAATCAATTATCCTGGCGACGTACCCAACCCCTGCGCAATGCGGGGCATGAAAATATTGGGAGTCGTTATACGGAGGTGATGACGTGACATGGGCGCATATACTTCTGCGAGCGGCATTCATGAGGCTCGCAGCCCCCCAAGGATTGCGATGTCCCGCTCCGATCTGCCTGGTGCCTCGCTCCGCTGGACCCACCAGCAGTCCTCGAAAGTGGCGACAATTTCGCAGATCGCAGCCCCCCAGGGACGGCGAGGTCCCGCTCAGATCCGCGCGGTGCCTAACTCCGCAGGGCCCACCAGCAGCCCTCGAAAGTGGCGATAGTTTCGCAGATCGCAGCCCCCCAGGGACGGCGAGGTCCCGCTCAGGTCCGCGCGGTGCCTCACTCCCCAGGACCCACCAACAGCCCTCGAGAGTGGCGGCAATTTCGCAGATCGCAGCCCCCCAAGGACGGCGAGGTCCCGCTCAAGTCCGCGAGGTGCCTCACTCCGCAGGACCCACAAGCAGCCCTCGAAAGTGGCAGCAATTTCGCAGATCGCAGCCCCCCAGGGACGGCGAGGTCCCGCTCAGGTCCGCGCGGTGCCTCACTCCGCAGGACCCACCAGCAGCCCTCGAAAGTGGCGACAACTTCGCAGATCGCAGCCCCTCAGGGACGGCGAGGTCCCGCTCAGATCCGCGCGGTGCCTCACTCCGCAGGACCCACCAGCAGCCCTCGAAAGTGGCGACAGTTTCGCAGATCGCACCCCCCCAGGGACGGCGAGGTCCCGCTCAGGTCCGCGCGGTGCCTCACTCCGCACGACCCACCAGCAGCCGTCGAAATGGGACAGTTTCGCAGATCGCAGCCCCAGGGACGGCGAGGTCCCGCTCAGATCTGCGCGGGCCTCACTCCGCCAGACCCACCAGCCGCCCTCGAAACTGGCGACAATTTCGCAGATCGCAGCCCCCCAAGGACGGCGAGGTCCCGCTCAGGTCCGCGCGGCGCCTCACTCCGCAGGACCCACCAGCAGCCCTAGAAAGTGGCGACAGGTTCGCAGATCGCAGCCCCCCAGGGACGGCGAGGTCCCGCTCAAGTCCGCGCGGTGCCTCATTCCGCAGGACCCACTAGCAGCCCTCGAAAGTGGCGACGGTCTCGCAGATCGCAGCCCCCCAGGGACGGCGAGGTCCCGCTCAGGCCCGCGCGGTGCCTCACTCCCCAGGACTCACCAGCAACCCTCGAAAGTGGCGACAATTTCGCAAATCGCAACCCCCCAGGGACGGCGAGGTCCCGCTCAGGTCCGCGCGGCCCCAGGACTCACCAGCAACCCTCGAAAGTGGCGACAATTTCGCAAATCGCAACCCCCCAGGGACGGCGAGGTCCCGCTCAGGTCCGCGCGGTGCCTCACCCCGCAGGACCCACCAGCAGCCCTCGAAAATGGCGACAGTTTCGCAGATCGCAGCCCCCCAGGGACGGCGAGGTCCCGCTCAAGTCCGCGCGGTGCCTCACTCCGCAGGACCCCCCAGCAGCCCTCGAAAGTGGCGGCGGTCTCGCAGATCGCAGCCCCCAGGGGCGGCGAGGTCCCGCTCAGGTCCGCGCGGTACTTCACTCTGCAGGACCCACCAGCAGCCCTCGAATTTGGCGACAATTTCACAGATCGCAGCCCCCCAGGGACGGCGAGGTCCCGCTCAGGTCCGCGCGGTGCCTCACCCCGCAGGACCCACCAGCAGCCCTCGAAAGTGGCGACAGTTTCGCAGATCGCAGCCCCCCCAAGGACGGCGAGGTCCCGCTCAAGTCCGCGCGGCGCCTCACTCCGCAGGACCCATCAGCAGCCCTAGAAAGTGGCGACCGCTTCGCAGACCGCAGCCCCCCAGGGACGGCGAGGTCCTGTTTGGATCCGCGGTGAATGCCCTCTCTGCTGGCCTCCCCAGCAGCCCTCGAAAGTGGTGACAATTTCGCAGATCGCAGCCACCCAGGGATGGCGAGGTCCTGTTTGGATCCGCGGTGAATGCCCTCTCTGCTGGCCTCCCCAGCAGCCCTCGAAAGTGGCGACAGCTTCGCGGCGACAGCTTCACAAGATCGCAGCCCCCCAGGGACGCGAGGGTCCCGTTTGGATCGCGGTTGAAGGCCTCTGTGCTGGCCTCCCCAGCAGCCCTCGAAAGTGGCGATAGTTTCGCAGATCGCAGCCCCCCAGGGACGGCGAGGTCCCGTTTGGATCCGCGGTGAGTACCCTCTCTGCTGGCCTCCCCAGCAACCCTCGAAAGTGGCGACTGTTTCAGAGATCGCAGCCCCCCAGGGACGGCGAGGTCCCGTTTGGATCCGCGGTGCATGCCCTCTCTGCTGGCCTCCCCAGCAGGCCTCGAAAGTGGCGACTGTTTCACAGATCGCAGCCCCCCAGGGACGGCGAGAGGAGACAAGAGGGAAGCGGGAGGCGGGAGGCGGGAGGAGAAGGACGCGACCACACCCCTCTTTTCAAAACGAATACCCAACCAAGGAGGGTTGGGAATTATGGATGGGCTGGTGGGGATACTTTTTTTTGGGTCGCGGCCGCGCAGCAGAGGGCAGGCGGCGAGAGGGTCCGGGGCACGGGCCATCCTAATTAGCTACTAAGCGACACGCAAGCCGGCTGGGCCAGCACTCAGAAGCGGCGGCTGAGGTGCAGCAGCGGCTGGTGGTACTGGATGGCTGGTCTGCAACGCCCAGGGAAGCTGATGCATCTTGCATTCCTGAAGCGGGGGTGCCAGAAGTAACTGGTGGGAATGCTTTTTTTCCGTCGCGTCCACAAGCGAAAGCGCAGGCGGAGTCAGAAGCGTTCCGTGACACGGAAACGGCCGAATTAGTTACTGAACGCGCCGAAGGCCGGCCGGCCAACTCACCAAGCAGCAGCGGGGCTGCGCGGGAAAACTGACAGGCTGAGGGCATCCAGGAGAGCTCAGGCACGTGCAGCCTAGAAAAATGCCAGGAAATTCGGTGTATGCTGTGATGAAAAACCAACTCAGACAGCGCGAGGACGTGTGCGCAGATGCCAGCGTGTCCCACGTGCCTGGTAGGCGCTCAGGCGAGGTGAACGATGGACGAGTCGGCAATGGGGCACCAAGCCTAGGGCCGTCCCAACGGTGTATGCAAGCTTGGAGGGCTGAGCTGCCGAGGTGACGACGCAAACCTGCCTGGTGGATGGGATGGGTCCAGGGGAGCTGCCGCGACTGCGAAAGGCTGAGCCACTCCGAAATGTCCACAGGGCTCCAAGGTTCACCATCCCGTGTCCGCGAGCCGGAAGGCTGAACTACTCCTAAGTGTCCACGGGCTCCGCGGCTCACCATCCCGTGCACGTGGGGCGCTGGCCCTGCGGTGTACCCTGAGGGCCAGGCCCCGGCCACCAGCTGCTCCGAGCGCGGAGACTGGTGCACTGCATGTGAGAGGCCAGGCTGGCGGGGATGAACATCGCCAACGTGGCAGATGAATCCAGGGAGGAGCCGCGCTGGAAGCGATCCCCCCGCGATCCACGGGTACGGGAACCAGGCAGCCCGCCCTGCCAGGCGGGGGTCCGCTGGGAAGGCCGGCGGGGACAGACATCACGGGCCCTCCAGGCGGAGGGGGCCACCAAAACCACCTGGAGAGGAGGGGGGGGACAGGGAAGGGCCGAAGCCCGGGAACGAGATCCAGGGATGCAGCTGACGGCTGCTCAGGGTTGAGAGTGGTGGCCGAAGCCCGGGCCCGAACTCCAGGGATGCAGCTAGCGGCTGCTCAGGGTGGGTAGAAGACGGAGCGCCCACGGGGGGGCGATTAGAGGACAAAGGGGGGCCGCAGCCCGGGCCCGAACTCCAGGGATGCAGCTAACGGCTGCTCAGGGTTGGGTTGTTGTCCAGGGGGGGGGGGGGGGGAGGGGAGGGGTGGGGGGAGGGGTGGGGGGAGGGGGGGGGGGGGGGGGGGGGAGGGGGGGGGGGGGGGGGGGGGGGGGAGGGGGGGGGGGG